ACAGAATTAGGAATGCTATAAGCGATTGTACGAGCAAATTGAAGGAAATATTTCGTATTTACGAAACCAGAGGGCAGTCGAATGACAACGCGAAAATGCTGTTTAGCTTTTAATTTTTAAACCAAAATAATATCGAGAAAATGAAACTCGGCTTCACTTCGTATAGTTATATGTTTATGTGTGTCAGTGAACGGTGGGAAGTTATATTTATTAAAAATGTTGAGTTGATGAAGAAATCTTACTTTTATTCACGTGTTTAACAATGCGAAAAAATATCAAGAACTTGTATCAGATAGACAGGAAACTGTTTAGTATTAAATCGAGTTAAAAATTAAGCCTCTTAAACCAGATTTTCTTTTACAAAGATAGATTAATTAAATATTCAAATATGGTCAGCAACTTGTTTCCAGTTCTTACCACCCCTTAATAGTGTCGTTGTGATAATGATAAAAAAAAATATGAAAACATTGAGAGAAAAAAGTAAAACATAAATCCTAACAGGCTATCAAAAGATTTTGAGTACTTCGTAAGACTATTTGATCATAATTTATTTTACATTTCTGGACATTGTGTTGAGTTTTCATTATTCTCCCCTTTAAAACTATTTAGATTTTCCTCCACTTTTTATTTTTTCATTTATTTATTCTTATGCAACTTAGGTCAGAGATTCGCTCACACAGTTTGAAATATTGAAAAGTTTCCAAATCTTTCTATATTTGATAAATCCAGCAGTTTTTTTTTTATGTCTCATACACTTCACAAAATCATCACTTATTAAAGAAAATTCGTTCAAAAAATACAGGTTATAATTCACTAAGAATTTAGAACGAATTGCAAGTTGTTATAGTTATCATACCCCCTCCTTCACTGCTCAAAAATACAATGCAATTAAAGTCTGTCTTTGAAACACTGAAAGAAAAGTTGATGCTTAAACATCTAACATTATACATACTGGGGCGGCGGTAAGAGGGGGGGGGGTTGCTCGGTCTTAAGCTACCTCCTCTTTAGTCTCCAACGAATAATACTTGCTGTTAAAGTTGGCTCATTTTCTAAGCACTACAAGAAGTACAGTTCAATTTGTATAGCCCATCTTAACCCCCTCACCAGGAAGAGGCTGGCGCCTCCCCTGTTTCTACATACTTACTTACAACTACGATCTAGACCAGTGGTCGGCAACCTATGACCCGCGGGTCACCTAGTGACCCACTGGGAAAATTTTGGTGACCAAGTAAACAATTTTTAATATCTCTAAATTTTGTAGCCAAAACCAAAATACGCGTCTCTCAAATTTTTAACACACCGATTTCATAGAGATGAACTATGCATAGCAGTAATATACATTATGTATTGATTATGTAAATTAACTGCATTATTTCTTCTCTTTTTTTTAGGTAACCGAGTACTTTGGTATCAATTTGAGAAAATAAAAAGTCT